AAAAAAAAAAAATACCATAACAAAAATAAAGAATGGCCACATCATAGATGGAATCATGAGTAAACCTGAATGTAATTAAAGAAAAACTTCTCAAGCTGAAATGCAAATAAAAGAGAGACAGAAGGGATTTGGGATATTTTTTCAGACTTGGAAATGCAGAAATATAAACATAAAACTCATTTACATTACACACAACAGCTCAAAGATAATTTTATACAAAAACTAATTTAGTGTGCCTGAATTTTTATTTCAAGTCACATCAGGTAAGGTATGTAACTGTCCACAAAGTTCAACTATTTGAGCATTTCAGATTTTAGATCAGAGACACCCAACTTGTATTACTTTCCTACTAAGTTGAAAGAAGTTTTCCCTCTACTAAAAATTTCCAGGGATATACCCTTTAACATGCACACACTATATTTTAATCTCTACTTTTTTTTCATACTGTAAATCTCAGAAATTTTTTTTTCTTTTTGAGACAAGGTTTCACTATGCAATTAAAGATGGTTTGAACTCACTTCATATCCCAGGCAGGCCTTGAACTCACAGTGATCCTTCTGCTTCAGCCTCCCAAGTACTGGTATTACAGCCATCTGTCACCACACCTGGCCAATCTCAGAAATTTAGAAGAAGCATTATATACTGATGGAACTGTGAAAACCCAATGTTTATTACAGTCCTATAATATGTGTGACCATTTCAAAAGATGTTGTGGAAAAATACTTCATTACATAGAAATATGGTCAAAATATGTTGCATAATAAAAGCACATTACAAGAAATATTAATGTATTATATTTTTAAAATATACCCAGAGAAAGATCAGAAAGATCTCATATAGCGGTAGTGAACCTATGGCACACATATTTATTTGTTTTTCTTTTTTTTAAAAAAAAGGAGTGCTGGGCATGGTGGTACATGCCTGTAATCCCAGTACTTGGAAGGCTGAGGCAGGAGGATCACTGAGTTCAAGACCACCCTGGGTTACACAGTGAGCTCAAGGCCAACCTGAACAACATAGTGAGACCCTGCCTCAAAAAAAAAAAAAAAAAAAAAAAAAAAAAAAATGTTTAAATGTTTAAAATATACAGTTGAAGAAAGGACTTGGCTCTTCTCCCAGTTCTGTGCACTCCTTTGTTGAATGTTTTGCTGGCACAGATTGATGAATGGGCAGGGGAGAAGGGAAGAAGGAGTAGTCAGAATTAGTGCTGAGCATGGATCTTTCTAGAATTAGAAAAGACATGAGCGCTGGCCCATACATTAAGACAAAACCAAGGTGCAAAAAAGAAAATAAAGGCTTATTTTTAAACAGCATCAAATACTTAGTGAATGCCCATGATGTAGCAGATAGTGTTCTATTCTGCAGGAAATAAAAAAATAAAAATAAAATCCCTGTCCTGGGAGAGCTGACATTCTTAAGAAAACTCTTGGGTATTCTTGTTCAGAAGCTAAAGGATTAAACTGAATAAAAAAAAATTTGGTGGAGAGTTTCACTTGAAAACTTAAAATCTCCTTTTAGAGATATTTAAAGGTATTGTGTTTTGTTTCAGAAAATGGCTCCAAAGATTAAATGAAGCTGGAAAAACACATAGATGCAGCATTGAAGCTCCTCCAGATGTTTGGGGATAATATTCCAGAGAGAAAATTGACGCCTGTGGATTAACTAACTAGTCATAATGAAGAAAATTAGTCTTAAAACCTTCCGGAAATCTTTTAACTTAAATAAAAGTAAAGAAGAAACTGATTTCATGGTAGTGCAACAACCAGCAATAGCCAGCGACTTTGGAAAAGATGATGCCTTGTTCGGTAGCTGCTATGGTAAAGATATGGCTAGCTGTGATATCACCAGTGAAGATGAAAAAGGTGGAAAAAACAGATCAAAAAGTGAGAGCCTGATGGGTACCTTAAAAAGGCGGCTTTCTTCTAAGCAGAAGCCAAAGGGCAAGGGCAGCACACCGTCAGGAAGCTGTGCCGATGAGGACACCTTCTCCTCGTCCTCAGCCCCCATTGTCTTCAAAGATGTCAGAGCCCAGAGGCCGATCAGGTCCACTTCCCTCCGCAGTCATCACTACAGCCCCACACCCTGGCCCCTCCGGCCCACGAACTCTGAGGAGACATGCATCAGAATGGAGGTGAGAGTCAAAGCCTTGGTGCACTCTTCCAACCCAAGTCCTGCGTTGAACGGTGTGCGAAAGGATTTTCATGACCTTCAGTCTGAAACTGTATGCCAAGAGCAAAATAATTCTCTAAAGAGTTCCGATTCTCCCAATGGAGACTTGCATCTCCACCTGGATGAACATGTGCCTGTAGTTATTGGACTTATGCCTCAGGACTACATTCAGTATACCGTGCCTTTAGACGAGGGGATGTATCCTTTGGAAGGATCACGTAGCTATTGTCTGGACAGTTCTTCACCCATGGAGGTCTCTGCGCTTACTCCTCAAGTGGGAGGGAGCTCTTTTACTGAAGATGAGAATCAGGTAGACCAGGACCTAGTCGTTGCCCCAGAGATCTTTGTGGATCAGTCTGTGAATGGTTTGTTGATTGGCACCACGGGAGTCGTGTTGCAGAGCCCCAGAGCAAGTCATGATGATGTCCCTCCACTTTCACCTTTGCTACCTCCAATCCAGAATAATCAAATCCAAAGGAACTTCAGTGGACTCACCGGCACAGATGCCCACGTGGCTGAAAGTATGCGTTGTCATTTGAATTTCGATCCTAACTCTGCTCCTGGGGTTGCAAGAGTGTATGACTCTGTGCAAAGTAGTGGTCCCATGGTTGTGACAAGCCTTACAGAGGAGCTGAAGAAACTTGCAAAACAAGGATGGTACTGGGGGCCAATCACACGCTGGGAGGCAGAAGGGAAACTAGCAAACGTGCCAGATGGTTCTTTTCTCGTTCGGGATAGTTCTGATGACCGTTACCTTTTAAGCTTGAGCTTTCGTTCCCATGGTAAAACACTTCACACTAGAATTGAGCACTCAAATGGTAGGTTTAGCTTTTATGAACAGCCAGATGTGGAAGGACATACATCTATAGTTGATCTAATTGAGCATTCAATCAGGGACTCTGAAAATGGAGCTTTTTGTTATTCAAGGTCTCGGTTGCCTGGATCTGCAACTTACCCTGTCAGACTGACCAATCCAGTGTCTCGGTTCATGCAGGTGCGCTCTTTGCAGTACCTGTGTCGTTTTGTTATACGTCAGTATACCAGAATAGACTTAATTCAGAAACTGCCTTTGCCAAACAAAATGAAGGATTATTTACAGGAGAAGCACTACTGAAAGATTGAGAACCCTGCATCTTGCACTTTGGGAAAAAAAAAAAGAGATTGAAATACAGTTTACAAACTTTCATTGCCATCAAAATACTTTGCTGCCATAACTATTTTAGTTTTGTGTGTAACAGAGTCACCAATTTGTTAGGGGTGGGGAAGTGTCTGCGAGGTGTCTTGGGTTTATTTGGTTCTTTCAAAAGGGATGTTTTGAGGTTCTAGAAGTGTGAATTATCTTTCATTAATGTGCAGAATAATCATAATGTGAATTATCAGATTCTTATTGCCCCCCCAGTCCTTTGCTGCTATCCACTGTGATTTTTATGCATTAAAAGCACATTTCATGTGTATTCAGCCCTAAGTGAAGTTGAATGAAGCTTATAGAATGAAAATTGCTTTGTCTTTTTAAATAACCCATTTTGAGAAGATAATGTTGAATAAACGTGTGTAATAACAGAATTTACATATACACTGAAAATGATTTTTTTAAATCTCCTTTAAAAAGATTTATTTAGAATTATGAATTGACATAATCTTGGTTAATGGAATGCAAATCTACAACTTATCTTTTACAACACTTTTCTAAATTATTTTTAAGGTAGTGCTATTTTTTTTTTTTGATTGTGAAAACCTAAATTTTTTTGTTGCCTTCATTTTCATCTGTTTGTGTATTTTAATAAATGGCCTTACATTAAAAAATTGTAAAGAATTATAAACCACCAATTTAGAAATTGTTGCCTTTCCTGTCATTAAACTCGGGTACAAATTGGCATAAAGACCTATGGAGCTAGAACTATCACTGTAGAAATTAGTGATGATCATAGTTTCCTGTGATAGGGCTCTTGTGTTATATGTACTTTCTTTCGGTTAAATATTTTATCTGCAATTTCTTTAGTCAGCAGTTTTTGGGGTGAACTTGTACAACCAACTTTTATAAATGGACTGGATTCTTTTATAACATTGAAGTTTTAAGTCAATTTGAATATAAAAAATAGATTCTTTTGAAGTTGGATTTAATTTTCTTATGTAGTTGCTATTAAATTGTGCTAGATTTGTCCCCTTCTCAGTAAAAACAACCTTTAATGACTTTAGCTGAAAAACCTTGGAAATTGTGGAGCATCATGTCACAGAAAAATCTAAGCCCATACCAGATACACGGAAGTTTTTTTTCCTTGCTGGATACACTGCAGTTTAAGAATAGGGTTTTTATTTTTCTAAGTTTACTGTATTTTGAGTAATTTCACACCTCTGGTTTTTCACCTCCTTGATTCAGTCACTGGGTTGTTACACCTAATAATTTTTAAATGCAGAACATTTCATTTATTTCACAATATTGTAGTGTCGTATCTTAGGATTGTTCTGTTCAGAAAATGTGTTCAGCCACACAAGCTTTAAAGGAAAATGTTTCTATCTTAGATGAACATGTAATTTGTGGTGTTTTTCCTTTGTCAAAGTTTCCCTTTTACCCTTTTTAAAAATGAGGGTACAAGTATTCGGTCAAACTTGCTGGCTTTGTTGTTCAAACATATCTGTATTCTCAGTTTTTCCTGTATTTGCTTTTTAGGGTCAGAACTGAGATATTGCCAAGAAAAGGCACAATGCCATAGTATCACAGTGTTATGATAATTTTGACCTAAAAGGAGAAAGAGACTTAATTTTGGTGGGACGTTGATTGCATCTTGTTACAAAGTCTCCTCTTTCCAACAAGATAAAATGGAATATACTATAATAATATAATTTAAGTATTCACTATAAGCTGTTTGGATTAAGAACTATTGCAGAGTTGTAAGCTTACTGTCAAATTAGTGCAAGACATGTAACTATTTTTTTGCAAAATTATTTATTTTTAAGCAGTGTAAAATACATGTAGGGTGAGTGGAAAGTCCCTATGCATCTATGTTGGATGGCAGGTGCTGTCACAGTTGCTGTGTAGTAGTGCTAAGTGTCAGGTGGCATCTCCGTATCTCCTGAAGCGTTTACACATCCTCCTGGGATGAGTGGGGCACAGACTCCGGACTGCGCCCAGCCTGTCTCACGTGGATGTAACGTGGTCCCTGCATTTTCTCTTGATACTGTACGTTTAAGATCTACCCATTTAGTTTCAAGATTATTCTCATTTTCATCTGAATGTTTTAAAAACTGTATTTTGTGTTTTTTTGGAAGGCAAGTGCTGATTCTGTTCTAATTCAGAAAGCAAATTTTTGATGTGCTTTTCTGTATTCATAATATAAAATATCTTCTTAAAGTAATATGCCCTACTCTAATCCAATTTGAAACCATTAGGTTCTGCTGATGTATTTGCCAAAAATTAAATTTACAAACCAGGTATGTGCAAAATTTTCTGAGTTTGTGTAGAGAGGCAGCCAACTGATAGAGGTAGCACCTTGTAATGGGGAGATGGACTTTATGTGATACATCAACAGCCTGGTGAAATACGGGAATGGAGGAAAGAGATGATCCCTGTAGCTCGGTCTAGATGCAGTTTGGTCTTTTGGGGATTATTGAAAGATAACTTCTATGATAAGAACAGAATCTGTACGTGATTCTTAAGTGTATACTTTAAAAAATCTGAGCTTGAGGTAAGAAAAAAAACAGGAAAGCTATATCCATTTGCTACAATAAATGAATCAGAGGTGGTATTGTAAAAATCAAATACTTCATCACAAAACATGGAGGCTGGAAGCTCTTTTGAGGTTTACTAGGACACTATTACACATTTTCATAAGTAATAAGAAAGCTGTAGAAAGTACTTGAAAAATATCTTACTCTTTCTACTTGGTGCAATAATTAAAAATTTAGAAGGTCACATTTTATCACAGGAAATGATCATAGAACTAAAAATAGTTTTAAGGAAACCAGCTACACGGGACAACCCTCTTGCTATTGAAAAGAATCATGTGCCAAAAGGCTAAATCATTGGCATATAGGAAATAAAACACAACGTAGACATATTTTCTGAGCCAATATTGTTGAAACAATATGAAAGTTACTAAAAATCTTGAATAGATTTATGCATTGTTTCTGCTAGTGCTATACGTCTAACAGTGCTTTAAGGAATGCCAATTTTGATTACATTTCTCATTGTATATGAGATAATTGTTTTATGAATGATTCAAAATAATATATTTTGATTTAAATCTTAATTGCATTTCATTGAACATGAAGTATTAATTTGAAAATGAAATTACACTACCAGCAATAGACAGTTTTGTTGAATACTCTAATAAGGAACAATAGCCAGTTCCATAAATAACAAATTCAAAAGGTATTGGTACGCTAGTAATCACAAATTTGGTTTCTTTTAATACATTTTTAATCCTGCAAGAAGGTTTTTATAAACATCCTTTTTATTGATGAGTCATAACATGGCAAAAGTATGTAGTTGCAGTTTCTGAAAATTGATCCAAATTCTACATCCAGAGGTGTTGGGAAATGCTTAGAGAATTTTGTAATAGTATATATGTTGGGTTAAAGAAATTTCATAGTTGTTGGAGTGCCATGAAATTAATACTTGGAGTCCAGATTGCTGTAGTTTACACTTTTTCTGTATGTTTCAAATCAGGTGTGTACCATTTGTACTGAGAACATCGCAGAATGAACTATCCAAAGTCCATTGATTTTAATATGTGTTTTGGTTTGTAAACAAATTATAGTAATTTCTTGCACATTTTTGGAAATTAATTATATAAGAATATGTATCTGCTTCTAGATACAATGTGTAAATAAAAATTTCATTCACAAGATCTGCCTTGTAGTCTATTTGATATGCTCATGTAGTCTGATATTAATAAATATCTGATTGACTAGATAATTTCTGGATGTTTCATGAACTAGGCAGATACTGGCAAGTGGGAGCCAATATATTTTAGTGAAAAGAGAAAAAATCACGTCCTTAAAGGAAGAGTCAAAATGTAATATACCAAAGCACTGAACATAAAGGTTGGCGTGAATTAGGAATATCTTAATAAACAAAAACACTAAGTTAAAACTAACACAACAATGAAACCTTACTAAAAGATGTTTAGGCTGACTTAGTAGGATCCGAATAATGTGGAACTCCAACCACATTTTTCAGAGCTGGTATCAGTTGGCAACATCGCTATTAATGTCATACGTGAACTGCTGTGAGGCAAGAATGCTCATGCTTTAGGAACTGTAGAAAAGACGACTTCTAAACTGGGCAGGTAGATTTTTCCGTGTCCAAATGTTTATTTTCTTTGATATAATACATAAAATATTGCAAGAAGACAATGGTATAACATTCCTCCTAATTTCCAGGTCATTATTTGATAATTAAGATCCCCACATGAAGTCAATGACTTGCCAAAATAGTACCTCTATCATGTGATTAAGTCATCAAATCCCAAGACATAGGACCAAGTAATATGTAGCTGCATGCTACAGGTTAGGCAATAACAGTCATTCCACTGAATGCTGTCTTCTCATTGCTGAGGAAAAATACCTGACACCCAGAGTTAAAGGAGGAAAGGCTTATTTGGCTCAGTTTGTGGAGGTTTCAGGTTTGTGGCTGGCCCCGAGGCAGGGTGGCATGTCCGAGTGGCCTCACACGGGAGAGATGATGGTTCATGGGAGACAGAAGTCAGCAAGGTAGCAGGCTACAAGCAACAAGCAGAGGGCTGGGGATATAGCTCAGCTGCACAAGCGCCTGCTTAGCAAGTGCAAGGTCGTGAGTTCGATTCCTGGTATCCCCCCCACCCCCCAGAAAAAGAACAAGCAACAAGCAGAGATACTGTGTCCCTTATATCTTATCCAGCTGACCTGTCCTTAGGGCAGGTAGCATTCACACCCTTAATCCTACCTAGAACTACTACAAACCAATCAGTGGGCTAATTTAATAGTCACACCCTTGATCACAGCATCCCACACTCCAGAAACAGCTACCCCGGCCAAGTGAATTATCAGGCATGGTAGCAGCAGGCCTTTCACCTTCATAAACACATGTATATCTGCATGAGGCTTTGAGGGGATGTTAGACACAAGCCATGACAAATGCCTTACATGAGCTGACATAGAAGATAAAATTGAACTTTGGCATAGAGTCTGATGCAGGATGTACAGATCTGCAGCCTACACCTTGGCTGACCCATCTAGGATGTGTTCGTGAGAACGGTGAAATTCATAACCAGCCCCAGCATCTTGTTCTGAAACCACCCAGTGAAGTCACAAGATGTGTGGGAAAGCAGAGGCCCTCCATAGGATGGATAGCTACTGTCAAAAGAGCAAATACAGCAAAAATGGTGAAGACCTCAATGAGTCCTCCTTGGTCTTGCAGGTGAAAGCTAGTGTTCACCATGATCCAGAGCACCTTCAGACTGTTGTGCATGAGCCAGAGGTGAGGGTCCAGAGGTGGAGGTAGGAGGCTATTCTTCAAATGCAGCCCTGGAGTACTCAACCGTGTAGATGGCTTGGTGGACAAAGATGGGTCTATTTTTGGTTGACAAAGATGGGTTCCGGAAATTTTTATTTTCCACCATCAGAAAAGGAGAAAGGGAGTTGCTGAGGACACCCTTGCTTGTGGGAGGTGCTTGCAGTCATAGAAGTTCACATAGGAGAGGGAAAGTAGATATACACGTGTTTATGAAGGTGAAAGATGTGCTGCTCTCATGGCTGATGACTTACTGGAAACTGGCAGCCTCAGGATTTCCCTAATTTATCGTTGTGCTTACCATAGGCAACTTCTTTTACACACTTAAATTCATAGTATTTTCTTTCCTGTCATAAGTTTTGCTTTTCATAGGCTGTTAACTTTCTGGATCAAAAATGGTTTAACTTTTTGTTTAATTAAATTTAGATTTATTAGAGCCTGCTACTTTGGCCTACAAATATGGTTTTTTTTTTCCCCCTTTCAAATCTTCTTTTTTGTTTTTGTTTTATTTTATTATTTTTATTTTATTTTAAAGAGAAGAAAACAAATTTACAAAGACATAAAAAAAGCTTAGAAATACAGAATTTCAAACAAGGTGATAGGAAATTAACAATGGTTATATTACATGTTATTATCTTCAGATTGGTTACTCAGATAAATATAGACATGTAAGATTGATCAAACAAACATTAACTGTTCCTTTCAATAAAGCAATAGAAATTAGTAGTACAATTATTTAGCTATCGTGTGTGTGTATATATATATATATGTATATATATATATTTTCCCCCCTCCTTTTCTCTTTTCCCTCATCCCAGTTGTTCTTTCCTTGTGAGCAATTTCTTTCTCTTGCACAATATCTATTGTACCTTTCAGATTTTATTTACTCTTTCAAGTTCCTACAGGAGGGAGACAATATGATGTTTACACAAAAAGAAAGAACTTTATTTTTTAAAAATTCCCTGTAAGAGCAGGGTGTGGTGGTGCATGCCTGTAATCCCAGCACTTAGGTGGCTAAGGCAGGAGAATCACCCAGTTCGAGGCCAGCCTGGATTATATAGTGAGTCCAGACTGGACTACATAGCAAGACCTTGTTTCAAAAAAGCAAAAACCAAACAAACCCCCAACCCAAACAAAAAACTTCCCTATAGTTTTCTTTTCTTTTCTTTTCTTTTCTTTTCTTTTCTTTTCTTTTCTTTTCTTTTCTTTTCTTCTTTTCTTTTCTTTTCTGGTATTTTATTTCAATTTCTAGTTTGAAGGGTTACCTAACCTGAACCATACTTTTAAAGAGTAAGAGTCTTATTTCCTCCTCCTTTTACATGACTGACATGCTAATGGGTACAGAGCTGCTTTGGCACTCCATACTTGCCCACCTTCTCCCACCCAGGACAGTTGCCATAGACCTTCACCTGTGAGACTTCATAGTTCAGCAGGGCTTTGTTCTCAGGTCATCTGTTTCTTTATGGAGATCACAGATTTGATGTAGTGGAAGCACTGGTTTATGACATTTACACAATTTGGTTTTCACAGGAAGATCAGTATGAATCTCCAGATAGAGTCATTGGCTTAGAGGGAAAAATACGCCTTTTGCATATTAGGATTTGGTTACCAGAGAAGTTAAATCCAGGAACCCCTGAGAGGGCCCAAAGCCTGACACTGGCAAAGAACCAACAGTAGCAACTGAGAAAGCAATTTATCTCTGAGCACAAATGAGCTTTGCTGCAGGATCCTAGAACCACTGTTGTATGGGGCTGCAATTTTTTCCCACCTAAAATCAGGCAGCCTTACCACCACTTCTGGGAGAATCATGTGAGTGTTCTCTTGGGAAAGGCTCCCTCACCTTGTAAAAGTTAAAGAAAAGCTGGCTAAAGCTAGTATTATTTCAACACAGTTTATAACCAGGGAAAATCCTACACATCATTTTGAACTGTCCTATTCCTAGTAACTCGGGCCAGAAAATAGGACAAATCTCAAATTCAGAAGAAAGATTCTTTTTATGAGCCATAGATCTCCCCATTCTAAGAGGTTCCATAGAAACACAGATCTGTATTGTGGCTTATTTTAGTATCTCACTTGGTACCATGCTTTGTAAGGTTCCACTCAGAGACATTAAAATTTGATTATACAGACTAGGTCACACAGTGAATTTTTATAGTTCTCTTAAATCCATTAATTTCATCATAGAATGTGAGAAATCTCTCTTTGCTTGGGTGGAACTGCCTCCTTACTTACATGTTCTTTCCTCTGGCTTTTGTTCATCCCTAATAATTTCAAAATATGATGTCCATTCTGTACTGAGAAGTAGCAGTTTATATTATGCCTAGCTAAAGATCATTAACATGAAGAATCTTTTTGTCAAAAACCTTAGAATAGATGCCTAAAACACTGTCAACATTTGAGATTAACTTGGGCTGTTTGGGGAATTAACACAATGGGGCAAAACTGAAGATTGCTAAAAGCTATTTAAAACACATTTTAATGGTTTTTCATAGTGCAAATCTCAGGGCAAATGAATTCTCTCACTTTCTCTTAAAAGGAATTATTGTTCTTTTAAAAGACATGTTTAATAGATACAGGGTTCTATGTCAGTTTTCTTGTCCTCTTTAAGCACTTAAAAAATGTTCCATCATCTTTTGGACTCCATTATTCTGATGGGAAGTTATCTGCCATTTATATTTTGCTCCTCTGCAAGTTATGTGTAATACATTCATCTGCATAAACTTTTAAGCACTCTCTCTCCCTCTCTCTCTCTCTCTCTCTTTCTCTCTCTCTTCCCTCACTCCCCTCTTTCTCCCTCGCTCTCTGTGTAGTCTGAATATGATGTGCTTGGGTATGGTTTGGATTTATCTTGCTTAGGGTCTGTGATCTTTCATCAGTTTTAGGGAATTTTTGGTCTTTATTTCTTCAAGTATTTTTTTTTTCTTGTTCTTTTCAGGACTATTAATCTCGTTTGTTTTCCTAAATGTCATCGAGTCTCTTTAATCTTTACTGTTTTTGTCAGCTCTGCAGATTTTACAGTTTCTATTCATTTGGCAATAAGTAACCAACTTTCACATGTACAGCCTCCAATTTACTATGAAACCTACACAATACATTTTTAATTGCACATATTGTATTTTGAGGTTGTAGCATTTCCATTTTTCAGCTGAGATTTTCTAAATGGGTCCATTTCTATTATCTTTTTTTCTCTATTATCTGCTTTGGGGGTCCTTAGTCCTTACTTTTTAATATACTGATAATTTTTTATTAGATGCTGAACATTGTGCCTGAAAGTTTTTGGAAGATTTGGACTGTTCTGCCTTCCTTCAAAGAGGGTTAAATTTTCTTCTGGAAGGTATACTAGATAATTGGCAAATC